CAATCGGCACTAAAGCCAGGGGAAGCAACCAACTCACCCAGCAGATGCTGCATTTCTCAGGGCACAAAAGGGCTCCTGGGAGCTATTTCAGGTACCACCAGGGGAGGGCAGGTCCCGGGAGACAGAGATATACAGCGGGAAAGGCTGGCAGCACTAGCCCTGTTCCCACAAGATGGCACTGCGCAACCTGCATTTCTCCCACCCAGTCTGTTGTCTAACAGCCTCCACCCTGGCCAGCACTACTGTAGACACAACCCCACTGTTACACTCAGGGCACAGCCTCATCTGCAGCCCTGGGATCCTGACACCTTTCAGGGCTGTCCCCACCCACAGACCCACGCTGCTTCGAGTGAGCGCAGAGCAGGGCTCCCCTGGGCAAGGGTGGAGCCAGCATGCACTTCCTGGGCTGCCCTCACTGCCCTGCACAGCCCACAAGGAAGAGTGCAGCCACGTGCAAATGACTTGGGCACTGCACTGGGTACCACACAGACAGGACCCAAGAGGCCAGGGGGACCTGGGCCCACCCAAGTCCAGATTCAAGCAGATGCCAGCCACTTCACTTCCCTTGCGGCCACTCTTCAGAGGATGAAAGGAGCACTCCCCAGTGTAACCAAAACAGGAAGCTAGGAGACGGATGCTTCAGGACCACATGGAACCTGTCCTTCCTCTTCCAGATCCCCTACCCCCTCGAACAGCATGAGATGCAGAGAGACTCACATCAGTGAGGGAAGAACTGCTATGATAGAAACAAAAAGAGCAAAATAAAGTAGTTTCGCTTTTGTTAAGCTTTCCTTCTTATACTTTCCAATTTCAAAAGCAGTTATGCAGTGCACACTTCAGTCAACACAGACCACATAGCAAGGTGATTCTGTAAGCGTGTAATAGAGCTGAACATCCATACAGACCAAAGCCCAACGTCACTGTGTGTAACAAACCTACTGCACTGCCAGGCATATAAAATGTACAGCACAGTTATACACAGTACAGAGTACCAGATAGCGATGAAAAATGACTATGTTACTTAGTGGTTCCTGTATTATACTTTTTTTTTTTTTTTTTTTTTTTTTTTTTTTTTTTTTTTTTTTTTTTTTTTTTTTTTTTTTTTTTTTTTTTTTTTTTTTTTTTTTTTTTTTTTTTTTTGGTTTTTTGGTTTTTTGACATAGGGTCTCACATGAAGCTCAGGCTGACTCACAATCCTGCCTCAGCCTGAGCCAGGATTACACATGTGGACCACCACACCCATGTTACTTAATAGCTATAATTTTTATTGTTGTTTTAAGGTGAACTTCTACTTATTTTTTTAAAATTTACAGTAAAACAGTATGTTGCGTTATGCCAACAGCAGTTGCATGCAGTGTGATCAACAAATAAAGTGTTTGTTTTTATTTCAGTAAGACACATTGCTATTAATCTTCCTCAAAATACTTCCCTCATACTTCAAACATACTTATCCTGAGCTGGGGATTTAGCTCAGTGGTTCCACCACCTGCTTCACAAGCACAAGGTCCCAAGTTCGATCCCCGGTACCAAAAACAAACAAACAAAGACAAAACAAAAATACTTATCCCATCATTCTTGCCACCTTCTGAAGAAGTTCTGGAAGTCCTCCTTCTCATGAGTGTCTTTAGTTGAACTGTTATGGCTGCCTAGATGTCCTGAGCTGATTCAAAATGTTCACCCTGCCTGGACATTTTGATGTTGGGGAAGAACCAGAAGTCACATGGTACCAGATTTGGTAAATGAGGTAGATAAGGACATACTGTCATGTTTTTATGAACCTGTCATTCAGCAACAGCATTCCCTGCACTTCTGGTCATACATCATAGAGACACTCAGCAAAGAGGACTCTAGCGCTGCTTCACAAAGCATCAGGAACGCTGAGTACATGTGCTCAAAGCAAGGGGAGAGTCTTGAGGAGGGTTAATGGCTGTGCGTCTTTTTAAATTTAAAAATTCACCATGTTTCTTGACCACCCATTACATACCTGATGTTCACCAAGTTACTGACCTAAATTATCAAGGTTTATATAAATACCAAATGACGGACACAAAGGACGGAATCGCCTATCAATTCATTCTCAAAATGCATCCTATCCCTAAACTGTGCATAACTTTTTGTTTGTGGTGGACAACACTTTTGAGAAATAGGAGGAAGAAGCCTGTAATCCCAGCACTTGGGTGGCTGAGGCAGGAGGACTGCCACGAGTCAAGGCCAGCTTGGGCTACACAGTAAGCTCAAGGCCCACCTGAACTACATAGCAAGACTTTGTCTCAAAAAAAATCAAAAAAAAAAAAAAGGGATAGAAATAGGGTGATGACAGAGAAACGAAAGAGCATGACTCTGAGGTAACGGAACTGTTCTGAGATAATGGAAAGGCAGCAGCTCAGCAGGCCTAAAGACTAGGACCTGCACAGAGAGAAGAACCAAGAAACCCAGTGTTGGCCGCGGATGGAACACAGCATTCACCACTCCAGCAATGGGCAAGAGGCTCGGCTGGGGCTGGTCTAGGTGCTGACAGAGCTCCAAGAAGCCAATGATGAAAACAGCGCCAGTGACACCAAAGAAGTTCCTAAAGAGGCAGGAAAAGCCAGGAATATTCGTATTTGATTTCTAGTCTATGACCCAGAGAATAGCAATTTCTGTGGGTTAGAAATTCTAAGTATCAGGGCGTGCCTGTAATCCCAGCACTGTGGGAGCTGATGTAGGAAGATGGCCAGGCAGAGTACTACTTGGACACCTTATGAGAACCTATCTCAAAACAGAAAGTTAAGAGCTAAGAATGTAGGTCAGTGCAAATGCCCTAGGTTCAATCTTCAGTACAAATAAAGAGGATGGAGGGAGGACAGAAAATATTAAAAACTTAAAGGGGATCCTCTTTTTCACAGATCTCCTGAACAACTTCTCACAAGAGCTCATGGCCCTCTCTCAGCTCGTGAGCTGGCCTGGGATGCCACAACAGATGCTCTAAGCAGGTCCTGCCATGGGACATGAACAGCCGAAGCAACTGCACACAGCTTCGCTCTCAAGTGGCACCAGCACCTCAGGACAGAGAACGGGGCTGCTAGATCTGCTCCAGCCAGCACTGCCCTCAGGACCTACCCCTCGCACCTGTGAGGCAGATCCGACACCATGTATGATCCAGCAGGTGGCAAGGTGGCCTCAACCATCAGGATCTCCAGACTGCAAGCCCTATAGCACAAATACTACTCAAAGCTGAAATGTCTGCTCCTAAATCAGGTAAAGGAAGAAAAGAGGGGCTGCATAACACTCCATGTTCATTGCTGAGCTACATAACCTGCTAGGAAAAACCGAGGTCCATCTCAAGCACTGACTTCTTAGCCAGCCCAAGTGCCCGTGTTCTCCCAGGCCGAGTCTGGCTCCCTCGGAGGGCCCACAGTCCCACCACCTGAACACCAAGGACCTTTCACATTTCTGCCTTGATGTTTTGTTAGATGCCTTTTTATTTATTTCCACCTGGGTAAAGCCAAAACGTTTAGGCCTCCTAAAAGCTCTTGAACTCAGTTTTGACAGGGGCCTTCTCTGAAAAGGGGAATTATGAACACATTTCTACTCACGTCATCTGAATTTACTAATTATATAATGCATACGTGTAGCTCTAAGAAAAGAAACAATTGCATTTGGGAGAAAAAGCAAAATAACACACAAACTTTTACATTTCTAGTAAAGTTAGTGCTTGCTGATAAAGTTAGTGCTTGCTCTTGGGCTGAAATCTGTCTTTCGGAGGCAGACCTCAGCCCACTCCCATCCCAGCTACTTCAGAGATTCCTGGAAACTGAGACCCAGGACACCCAACTCCACTGTGTGACGGCAGTGATGCACATGTGAGTGCCTTCAAACCACAGCCACCAGGGAAAATAATACTAAGGCCCAACAGGTTTACTGGCCTTTTGATATGCTAAAAACAATTTCCAAGTTCCACACTGTAGTTCTGAAAGGCTGTTGTCCGTTACTTTGCAGAGCAGTGCAATTTTACTAATATGTGGCCCACCTGACTAACAAGGCACAAGATGTCAGGCCAACTGTCCCCATCTGTCCTTCCTTCTCAGGGCTTTCCACACCTGGCCAGACTGAAAGCCCACACCCACAGAAAGTGGCACCTGGCGGCTCAAGAAGGTGCCCAAGTAGATAAAAAGGAGTGCATTTCACCTGGAAAGGGAGTCAGAGCTCAGTCTCTGGCGTGATAGATCATCTAGTCACTCACCTCATATTCTTAACAAGGCAGAGATCATTTTTAAAGATGAAAGAACAAAAAGAGCAAGTCAGTATTAAAAGGAAAAGGGCAAGAAGACATAAATTAGGGGATAGAGACAGATGGAAACAGACAGATCTGAAACAGCCACCAACACAGAAAGCAGGGTGGGGCCTGACTACCTGGCTCCAGGAAAGAGGCACACTGGTTCCACATCAGAAAGCCTTCCATGGAAGAGAGTGTCTGAGCCACTCAACAAATCATCACAAAATGATAAAGCTACAGCAAAATGAGAAGGCAGACCCCCATCTCCTTCCCAATGGCTGCCACTCTGGACCACAGGGCCCATTCTAACCTCTATTTTAGGGGGCACCGACTAGACTACTTCAACTTCCCAACCGACTATTTTTCTTAAGTCCCACAAGGTCCCAAAATGTTACAAGGATGTATTTTCTTATGCTAAAGATGGCAACAAAACTTGGGTGCTCTTAGAGGCCCAGAGATCTGGGCAAAGTCAACACCAGCATGACCACGTTACAACAACAATGTCCAGCTCACCGTGGACAGGGAAGTGTCCAGGCATGGGAAACTATAGAAAACAAAAATCGTCCCAAGTTTGTCAGCTAAAATGTTTTACAACATCCACATCCCCTCAAAAAATGGTAAATGAGTAAACCACATTTGAGGGGACTTCTAGAAAGTGCAGGACCATCTGGCAGGTATCCATACAGGCTCGCGTGCCCCTCACTCCAGGCCCACTGTTACCCAGTACTCAAGTGTGTTTGCTTACCTGTGAGGGGGGATATAGGGAGCACAGACGGTGGGCAGGACCGCACAGGGCTCAGCCAGTGTTTTCTTAGTCTTCTTCGCTTTCTTCCGGACCTTGGACGTAGACCTGACCGATTTGACTGAGCTCTCTTTTCTACAGACACCATTTCTCATTTCAACATCCCCATAAATGTTCAGAGGCCTTCGTGTGCAGCCCGGAGGCGTGTGTACGTCACAGTACGCGGTCTTTCTGACAGAGAAGGTGGTGCTGCCTCCTGTCAGTTCCTTCACAGGCTCCATCTTCATGTACAGGCCTGCCTTCTGGGCACATGTCACGTGGAAGGCCGTGTAGCAGTTTGCTTTGTGGCACTGGATGCAGGCGCCCACGCCCTTCTGCTTACAGAGGTAGCATGTCAGTTTCCACCGGGCCGGAGGGATGTTCCTCACGCCATCAATGGGCTCAATGAACACGGTGTTGGCAAAGCCAACCTCTGGAATCCACAGGGCACACACCACGTGGCCCCAGCGGTCATCGTCTGTCTTTTTGAAGGCACCACCTTTGTTGGGGCACAGCACACAGTCAGCGGGACGGGCCCGGGACTGTAGGCAGTGGCGGCAAAGCCACTGGCCCTCGGGGATGTAGGGCACCCCATAGCACTCCTGGTGCACAGCCAGGTTGCACATGTCACAGAAGAGGATCACATTGCTGTTCTGACACTCACCGTCCATGCAGATGCAGCACACAGCGTCCTCATCGATCAGGGACTGCTGCTCACCCTGCTTCTGGTTCTCACAGTATGACTCCTTCTCGAATCGGTCCATCAGGAACTCAAACATGTTCTGTGACACTGCAGAGACACAGTCGCCCTTCCGTTTCTCGTTGATGATCTCCAGCCAGGCATAGTCCTCCTCATCCATGTCATACTCCACCTCATTGTCCAGCTCCTCTGCTGACTTCTCGATGAACTTGTAGTACACAGGGGGCCTCCTGGGTGCTGATGGTGGGCTGTACTCCACGATCCGCACCTTGGGCTCAGGAAGGGTGCTGGCTGAGGCAGGTGTGCCGTGGGTACTGGGCAGAGCCTCACTTTTCTTTTTCACTCTGTTGTTTTTGTGGCGCTTAGTTCTTAAGCAAACAGGTGGCCTCTCACTGTTTTCTTTATTGCTATTGCATTCACTCATTTCCTGAGCAGTGAGGTCATCTTCTAATATGATCTCGAGGGGATCAAAAATACTGATCCGATGCAAGCGCCCTTCAATCTCTATCTCAACCATCCTTTGAGCTTGCGCGTATGTCAGGGTCTCTCGTGTAGGGGAGTGTTTAACACTGCATGGGGAGGAAGCGTGCCTTGCTGCAGAGCCTCGATGGCATCGTCCTTTCCTCCTCATTTGGCAATTATTGCCTAAAATAAAGTCAAAGGAGAAGTTACAGTCAAGTTGGCAAAAGACCTAAGCACACCCTGAAAGCACCCCAGGGTAATGCTAACTAATCAACTCAATGCCCAAAGTAGAAAACTCACAGCTGATACATCCCTGACGTTCCCACAGTCCTCCTCCCTAGGACTCAGGACCGTATTTCAGGACCAGCAAGAAGAAGGAAGGGCAGCACGCAAGGAGCATACAAGAGCACACAGAGCAGTAGCCTAGGGAGCTCCTGATAAGAACCCTGGTGCTGATTCTCACCACACACCAGTCACCTTTTCAGGCCAAGTCAACAGTTCACCAAAGGGACAGTGCCAGGCCCTCCCTAAAAGGGACTCCAGCCTACAAGCATAGGGCTATTTCTCTGGCACCCCTCCCCCAATAGTCCAACAAAGGAGTGGACTCCACCAGGCAGAGGCTGTGACTACAAAGCAGGCGTACTCTGTAGCTACCTGGTCCTAAAGAATACCCATTCCCCCTCCCACTGCTGCCCAGGGGAGCGCTCCTGTCAGCCCAAGTGTACCCCAGTACTCACAACATCCCTGTTGGAGGCCAGAAGCTTCTGTGACCCTGCTACGTAAGACAGTAAGCCACACACTCCAGTCTGGTCCTCCTCTCTACAAACACATCCTCCACACCTCCCCACAGCCACGCAGGAACGTGTGAGGGGAGCCCAGTAGAAGTCTGTGGAGACATCTTTACCCTGGAGGACCAGCCCAGCCTCTGCAGAGCCTGGGGAGACACCACCACAGAACCCCCACCTGGGGCCATAACAGTGTACCTTCCCCAAAGCTCTGGCTGGACTCTTCTGGGTCACATCCTCCCCTTGTTCAAGTAAATCGAGCTCTGCTCTCTTCCCACCACACTAGAAGATGCTCAGCTACTGCTCTGCAGTTGGGTGAACTGGCACCGCCTACAGAGCTGCTCTTGGCTCAGGTGCCCAAAAACCTGGCCCCAGAGATTTGTGAGCATTTCCTATCTCCAGAAGTAGGCAAAACACACTGAATGGACAATTCATATCTCTACCCAAGAAGCAGAAAACTCAGCTGTCAACTCCTGCCTCTATTTCTGGTGCTCCCTGATATGGCCTGCTGTCTGGGCACCTCAGGGGAAGACATGCCAACCATGAGTACCACCCACCAAGCCAGGCAGGCACCTTGGGCAACAACAACAAGGACTGCTCAGATTCCTCCTTCCAAACAACCACATTTTACCGACAAAGTGTCTATCAAACAAAATGTTTACTGACAAACTAAATGACTTTTAACTAACTCACAAGTATTCAAAGTTGAAGCCCATGTCAGGAAAGCCCAGCACTGGGTTACCAGAGAGCTGTAATTCACAGCCTCACAGCAGGAATCACTTCATCCCAGCAAATCCTGCATCACCTTTTTCATAAACTTTCTGCCCAAATCAGACAATAATTTTTATAGAGGACCATGGGAAATAGTGGTCAGCCAAATCCCAACTCACCTGCATGCGAGGAGCCTGCAGGTGCCCACTCAACCCACAATTCCCAGGGCTATCAGCAAAGCCACCCCAGCAGCCCTGCACCTCTAGCAGCAGCCCCCAAGGTAACAGCACTACAGCCTCCAAAGGGGACCCCGATGCCCACAGGGACAGCTCCATGTCACCAATGAGGTGAGACAGAAGAACAGTTGGATCTGGTTGCTCATGAGATTAAACACAAATCTGTCATTTCCTCATTTGTAGACAAGTCCCAAGTAGCTCTAACTCTAACCAGCCCTGCAACATCTATAGCCTGCCAGTAAGCACTGAAGCTCTTTACCATTTTCTGTAAGAATCTAACCTGAAACTTAATCCCTACACTGGCTCTCTAACTTGAAAATGTAATAACCTCGGGAAAGGGGGCATTTAGCAACCCCATCCAGCAAAGAGTGACAGACGTCCTTATCCTATGGGCTGTGCTTGGCCCTCCAGCCCTGAACACTCAGTGCTCCAGTACAGGGACAGCATTTCCTCAGGGAGGGATCAGCAAGCTAGTAAGTATGCCTGAAAAACATCCTGAAAAGCTTTGTGGGCAAAAAAAAAGGGGAGGACACTCCACACTCATGATCAGCTGGTTTGTTTCCTGCCAGACTAAGAACAAGTCATTTAAACTCTCCCAGCCTCCGCCCCTATACTACAAAGGGCACAGGCACAGGAGACACCTCACTGGGCAGCAAGGTGACAGTCCAGAGAGTGAATACATGTGCTCAGGCAGTGCGGGGCAGCATAAGTAACACCCAAATTCCACCAACTGCGTACTGCCTAAAGTCATTCACTGGAAACACACCCAGACACTGGGAAGCTTTCGGAGGTGATGGGAACTTCCTCCATCAAAGGGGCGGTTTCTCTGTGTGTATAACTTGCCAGAACTCTTTCTGTGAACATGCCTCAGTGAAGCAAGGACCAGGAGAGCCTGCGATTAGTTCAAGGCGTTTCCTGCACACATCCTGCAGGCTGGCCAGGGTGGACTGGACTGGATGGGCCCTCTGGCTGCTCCGGAGAAACCCAGCTCATCCCTACGGAGGGAGTTTCCTGTCCTGGCAAAACAGATGAGCCTATCTGTTACATAATGCGACCCATGCGAGTGCGGCCCTGAGAGGGAAGTGGACCTGTGCCGCAGACCCCGTAGCCTCCCAGCCTCTCCACCTTGCGATCCACCCGGCCCGATCCAGGCCTCCTCGGCCTCCCCAACTCCACTCCGCCCGCCTGATCCAGGCCTCCCGATCCAGCCTGGTCCAACGTCCTCAGTCTTCTCCACCCTGGCCTCCCCACCGCCCGATCCGGCCCGACCCCGGCCTTCCCACCTCCCAATGCGCTTGGCCGACGTCTCCCGGCCTCCTCCGTAGAACGATCCCGGCCTCCCGATCCGCCCGGCCCGACGTTTCCTGGCCTCCTCGTCCCCGGTCTCCGCCTCCCGATCCGCCCGACGGACGACTCCGGCCTCAGCCTATTCAGCCTTCTCGTCCTCCACAGCTTCCGCCTCCTCCGCCTCCCTATCCGCCCGGCCCGACGT